TGTATATGTATATATATAATGGTATTTTTTATTATTATATAACTAGAGGCCCTGTGCATGAAATGAAATTTGTGCACAGGGAGTGGTCCCTCAGCCCGACCTGCACCCTCTTCAATTCGGGAGCCCTCAGGGGATGTCCTACTGACAGCTTGGGCCCACTCCCCATGGTTCTCTGCTCTCTGCAGGGCCTGCCTGCTCCACACCACGGCGACGGGCAAGCAGGCCCTGCTGGGTGCTGCCTGCGGGCCATGCTTGCCTGCTCGTGGGTCACCGTGATGATGCCTGCTGGGCTCACATTGCCTGGGCCGGCCGCTATGAGCGCCACCATGGGCACCACCATCTTTGTCATAGAGTTATGGTTAATTTGCATATTACTCTTTTATTAGATAGGATACTATTTTTTTGTCTCATTTAATTAGTTTGGGCCTTGAATTTTTCTTAATATGATTATAATATTGAAGCCATGTGTTCTTTTTTTTATTTCATTAAACACTTTTTTCATCCTTGAAAGAAAAACAAATGGATGCAAGTGTTGGAAATTTCCCGTGGAGAAAAAAAACAATCCAGTCATACAAACAAAGCTCAATTCAGCTTATTTTGTGAGATGAATCCTACCAGAGTCATTTTAGTTCAAAATTTCCCAAAGGTTGATATGAGGCAACTCCTGACCAACTTTTTATCATATAGGAAAATTCCAATATTATCAGTTTTCTGTAAATCTGGCATTTACAGAAAATTGATTTCTCAGTCCTTGTGTTTTGCTTTCCTGATGGCAAATACATGAAATTTCTGTCTTTATATCCCTCAGTTCCATTTTAGATTAAAATTCTTTCACAAGAATAAAATAAAAAAGAATTGATATATTTATACAGGAAAAAGTGCAAAAGAAAAAAAATATATATACATATATATAATAATCAAGATTTCAAAATCAATTAGCATTACACGGTGGAACTTAACTGACTTAATTTTCTTGGTGCTAATCTGTAGTTTCTACTTCTATAAAAAAGAATGCATTCTTGTTTATTACATAAGACTTAAATATTTGAAAAATAATTATTTCATAGATTACTCTGGTTTGCCTAAGGCAAGGGAGAAAAGTATAGGAGGGTTTTAATCTGAGTCATTTTGAGAAGCAGGATCTTGTGTATTTGGTTAGAGTAGACATTATTAGAAAAAATCCTTGAAAACTCTTCAAAAGCCCAACTTCAGGAAATTGGGCATGTGAAGTCCATCTGAGGGCCAAAATTTTTCTGAACCTAATTATCTTCCCTTTACCCTGTAGATGGTGGCCACAGGAGTCTGTCGGTCAGATGACCACGTGGTTAGTGGAAACTTCGTCACACCTCTTCCTGTGATCGCAGGCCATGAGGCAGCCGGCATTGTGGAGAGCATTGGAGAAGGGGTGACTACAGTAAAGCCAGGTATAGAACTCCTACTTGGAGAAGGTACTGTTCAGGACCCCAAGATCACCCAGCCTGGGTGATGAAACTGAAGCAATGAGAGATGCAAGACCTTGCCGAGGGCAGCAGCACAGCTAGGGCTTGAACAGAGGTCTCCTTCTTTCCTGCCCTCTTCCTGCCTCAGACATGTATGCATTCATGCACTCCTGTGTTCTCTCCTTCAGCAGGAATTTGTTGAGCACCTGCTATCTGTCAGGCACCAGGTTAGCTCCTTGGGATACACGAGGATAAAAAGGGACCCACTCCCTGAGGTCATAATCAAATAACTTCCATTTCAGTGTCGCTGAGCACTGTTTTCTCTCAGGTCCAAAAAAAAAAAAAAAAAAACCTACAAATGGGACACAGGAAAAACATCTAAGTCTGTGTCCTGAGCCTATAGGTCAGTGCATGGGAACTGTTCAGTGCTAACTTCCCAGGGTGGGGACCCTGATGAAGCATAGTAAGTCCTCCTTTGGAAAACTGCTGTTGAAACTGCTGTTTGAACTACTCTGTTATTCTTAGACAGTCTCTTATTCTGTAGGTCAACTCTGTTATTTTTAGATAGTCCTTTATTCTGTAAAATAATTGTTTTAGTTTGAATAATAGAAAAAGATAAAAAAACCAACAACTTAGCTGTCTGACCTTGCAAGCTAGCCATCTGACTTAACAGGCTAATACTGATACTGATGATAATTCCCATATTCTTATGTCAAGTGTTAGTTCATTATGTATTCAAGGTTACAAACTGTTTGTAACAATAACCTACACAGAGCTTTTTGTGAAATCTGTAGACAAAGGGCTCAAAAAGGTATAAATAGAAAAAACTTCCTCTATGTGTTTGCTCAGAGATTTGGGAAACACCTCCCTCTGGGCCTGCGTGAATAAAGACTCCTAATTAATTGGCTCATTAAGGCGTCTCATATCTATCTCGCTGATTTAAGATACAACACTGAGGCTCTGACTGAATCAACATGATCTCCTCTAGGTGGGAAGTGGAACCCATTCACTGGTTTTCCCTTCCACTATGGCCTCCCTTCTTGAGCACAGAATGAATGAAACAGGCTATTTAGAAGAAAAGGAGAGACCTGGCAGAAGGCCCCTGCAATAAACAATATCTGTTTTACTACATTAAACCATGGCTAACTGTGACTGGTTACAGGGTACTAGTTTATCCTTAACATTTATTTTGTCTTAATTTTATTGTGCATTAATATAGATAAATATTTTTAGAGGTAAAGATTGAGTAAATATAAAATGTTCATGTGATAATCTCCATATAAAGTTTATTAAATGTTATGGCCTAACCCTTTTTATGGGTTTTGTGGATATGGAGAATAGCTAGTTGAAAACAAAAAATAATGTTTAATTCTAAAAAAAAAAATAACTTTAGCCAGTAGATTTGACCTCCCCCATTGCCAAATACTTATTTATATTGTTGAGAGAAAATATTAAAATATATGATCTGGTTTGAGTTTCAGCTCTTAGTATTTCCTTTACTTAGAAATAAATTAACAATAAATGACACTTTTACTTTCACCCCGGCTCCCTCCCCCATAGCAGGCAAAATAAATAATTCACAAATTAAGTTATCAGCTAAAAACACTTAAAAATCAGTTCTCATCATAAAAGAAAGTACCTCATTGCTGAGGGTTGAAATTTTCAAAGGAATTTCCTTAATTCTTTTTTATCACATTCTTCTTATTTTTTCTTTAAGAAAACTAAAATTAAAAAAATAGAAACTCATTTTATAATAAAAATAAGCAGTCACTTTGTGTTCTTAATTTTTTAAATATATTTTTATTAATTTCAGAGAGGAAGGAAGAGGGGGAGAGAGATAGAAACATCAATGATGAGAGAGAATCATTGATTGCCTGCCTCCTGCACGCTCCCCACTGGGGATCAAGTCAGCAACCTGGGCATGTGCCCTTGACCGGAATCGAACCTGGGACTCTTTAGTCTACAGGTTGACGCTCTATCCATTGAGCCAAACCAGCTAGAGCATACGCAGTCACTTTGAAAAGCCATTAATGATTGTCAAAATTCTCATTTTTTAATGTATCCCAAACTACTACAAAATACTGGCTGTCCCCAACATCTAGTGATCCCATGGCAGCCTCTCATAACTAAAATTTATATATATATACTTACAGTGAGTACATTTGAGATTTAATTATTAAGAATTAAGTGAGATGCAAAATCACCAAGAGAAAGGGCATGGATTAAAAGATAACTATTAATGCAGTGGAAATACTTTAAAATCCATGGTTGTTCCCACAGTCACATGTCCTCTTTGGCAATCTTCAGGCACATACAAACCCAAACCAATAACAATGCTGCCAGCAATGTCTAATGACATCATGGTGACTGCATCCTGTTTCTGAGAGACAGCTGCCTCTAATACATACCCATAAGCTTTGAGTGGGTAGAAATTTAATAAGAATTTGCTTTTTCCCCCTCCAGGTGATAAAGTCATCCCACTCTTCACTCCCCAGTGTGGAAAATGCAATGTTTGTAAACATCCGGAAGGCAACTTCTGTGTGAAAAATGAGTAAGTTCCCATTACTCTCCTTACACAGCCAATGAATTTGCACACTGTTATGCACGTGTCTCATGCCCTTGTGTGTCTGTGTGTTGCACTGGCCAGTCTGAGCATGCCTCGCGGGACCATGCAGGATGGTACCACCAGGTTCACCTGCAAAGGGAAACCCATCAACCACTTCCTTAGCACCAGCACCTTCTCCCAGTACACAGTGGTGGACGAGATCTCAGTGGCCAAAATTGATGCAGCCTCACCTCTAGAGAAAGTCTGTCTCATTGGCTGTGGATTCACAACTGGCTATGGGTCTGCAGTCAAAGTTGCCAAGGTAGGAATGACAACAGATGACAAAGCAGTTGCACTCGGGCTGTCAGAAACAAAAAGGAAAGCGATTTCTCACAAGACTCAGAGGTCATTCTTCATAGATTTACTGGTAGATTTCCCCCCTTCCCAATACCACAATAACATTGATATACTCCATAGAATTTAGTGTTGATTATGAGTAGAAAATGCCCTCAGAAAAAATTAAGAGCATAAGCTAGAAATTTAATCTGTTTATAAAAAGTGAAAAAGCTGTTGATAACTAGTGAAGAAAAAGTAAAGGTGCCATTTTCAATAATTATTTTTCTGTATTTGTTCTTTATGGGATTACTGAATTTTAAAGCTAGGACCTTACGTAGTCATTCATTCTACTGTGAGTCAGCACAAACATGCACCAGGCACAGTATGACCCTCTAGGTCCTGAGGCAGCAAAAGTAAATGAAATGAAAGAGTTGCCTTTGAGGAGCATCTAGACCATGACCCGCTACTCCCAGAATTAGGACCAGCAGTAGATTCCAAAGCCTTACCTGAAATACCTCCAGACCAAGCATCACCAACCTACTTGCCCTGTGGAACCCTATGAGGAAAGCAAGGAAGATAAGGTGATGTATTATGCATTTTTTCCACTCATTAGGGGATCTCACTGCTTCATCTGCTCCTCTGCCATGAACACACACACACACACACACACACACACACACACTCACACACTTCAGAGGTGGTAGATTTGAAGGAGAAATTCTTTAAAGGCCCCTCTTCACAAAAGGTTGGAAATCTAGTAGGCCCAGATCCATAATGCTACTTGCCCAAAATCTTATGGCTGTAACTAGCATGTCTTTCTCCTACTGCATCTTAAACCATCCTATATAATAAAAGGGTAATATGCCAATCAACTGAACAGCAGAATGACCCGACTGCTCACTATGATACACACTGACCACCAGGGGGCAGATGCTCAACGCAGGAGCTGCTGAGTGACAGCAACTTTGCAGAGTGCCCTCTAGCACACTCCAAGACCCTTAGGGGGAGGTCGGACTGCCAGTTTCGGCCAATCCCTGCAGGCCAGGCTGAGGGACCCCACCTGCCAGAGGACCCTGCTCACTCCACAGATGCCCTTCGAGCCCCAGCACTGCCCCACATGTGGCTAGCGGGGAGGAACCGAGTGAGGTTGGCTCCAGGGTATGTCCCACTCTTCTCGCCCAGTCCCGCCCCACCAGCCACCTTCTAATTAATTTCCTTTCAATGTGCACAAATCCATGCACTGGGCCTCTAGTAATATATACTTGCCTGCATTTTAAAATCACAGTCACAAGTCTCATATTTCTTTAAGTAATGTAAAAATTAATGTTGTACCCCCAGAGAATACTTGATTACTTGGGACAGAAGGAATATTTTACCCACACTGAAGGCTGACTCCTATAGCTGAGTAGGTGTATTAAACAGTCCCTAGCCAATTTCAGCAACTGAGAGCACATGTTTTTCAAATTCGGTGACTCTAGCACTAAGTCCCTTGTGCAATTACCTCATCTATTTGAGCAGGTGGTCTAACTGAGCCTGCACACAGAGCAGAAGGCAAGGGCACTCATGAAAAGGAATCTCATCCATTATTAAAATGTAGGCCAACTTTTATTGCATTATTGTTCATTAGTGTATTTTAAAAAGCAAAGATAAAGACCCACTAAGATCACATTGGTCTTAAGCTGTTTAAAGTTTCTAGTTCCATTTCCCCTGTTAGGTTTGACTTGAAGCTGAGAATAACTCTTCTCTGCCCTACAGCTAATTTCTGTTCTCATTGTACTGGTCATGACTTCTAAAGCTAACGAAACAAAGAGTTAATCATTGAGCATTTGATTAGATTATCTTTGGTCTCATGAATTAACCTTTCCCACTTATTTCATTTCCCAAAAATTGCTTCTGTGTATGTACAATTTACCAAAGCCTGTCAATGGATTTCAGCCACTAGAGATTCTCTTCAAGATGGGAGTCATTGGTATTTAGAGCTGAGAGATCATCCAACAGTGGGCTCCCAGCCTGGGCTTTCTTTCCATTGGAATCACCTGGGAACCAGGCCCCACCTGCACAGGTTCTGATGTAATTGGCTATGGGCTGTGACCTGGCCATTGAGAGGTTTTAAAGCTCCCCAGGGGGGTCTAATGTCTGGCAAAGTTCAGAACCACAGATTTAAACTCCTCAATTTAAATACAAAGCAACTGAAGCCAAAATAGGTTTTGGCAGCAGGTTGGACATAGGAGTCTGAATAGTCCTGATAATGGATAAGACAGGACACTGTATACAACAATCATTACTTAATCCATTTTTGCATTTTCTGAAACACAGGTGACCCCAGGCTCCACCTGTGCGGTGTTTGGCCTTGGAGGAGTCGGCCTGTCGGTTGTCATGGGCTGTAAAGCGGCTGGAGCAGCCAGGATCATTGGGGTGGACATCAACAAAGACAAATATGCGAAGGCAAAGCAAGTGGGCGCCACTGAGTGCATCAGCCCAGAGGACTTCAAGAAACCCATCCAGGAGGTGCTGAAGGAAATGAGCGGTGGAGGTGTGGATTTTTCATTTGAAGTCATTGGTCGGCTTGACACCATGGTATGTATGTGCCATGGAATGCCATGAAATGCGTGTTTCTGCATTCTGGAGAGTGATTTTAGGCAGCAGAATATGAACATTATATGTACAGAATATTTTTCAAACTATGAATAGTGATGTTTCATCTCCTATTTAATGCCTGGATTATTTATTATTATAAGAAATGTTTTATTCCATCAGTTATGCCATCCTAGTTCAAGTAATATTTCCCTTTTAGAGTATTAGGCCATTTAAAATTTACTTTGTTAACTTTTAGTTATAATATTCAAATTAAGTAAACATAAATAATACTAATGCTGTTCTCAAATTGAAAAATTTTATTTTTCAACTTCTCACATTTTTAAACAAAATGGTTTAATAATTTTTATGTTTTAATGACTTCCGATTTTTTTCATAAATCACAATTTGCTCAAAAGAAATAGTGAGCAATTTAAGACAAGTATCATTTTATTAACATAAAACAGGCCCCATTTACCACAGCATACAGCCCAGTGCCTGGCACACATATTAAGCGCCAAATCTATGTGTTAGACTGAATACTTTTAAAAGTCAACCGATTTTTTCACCAAAAAGTATAAGAAATACATATCTATGGATTACATGAGACAATGCATATAAAATACTTAGCACAGTGCCACTTGTCCAGTGGAAAGCTCTTACTAAATATTATCTGGTGCTACTGATAGGAAGTAATGTTTTCAGTGATGCAGTGCTTCCATCATCTCTACAACATACATAACATTACTTTCAAATAATTACAAACATGGTCAATTACCATGAAGAAGCCATCTCCAGCTAAATTCCTTCCAATTCCTCATGTGGGATTGGATTGTTACTTTATTTGAAGACACCAAATGTCTGATAACCACATGTCCCACAGTCATCTGGTTTTCCAGATGTCATACTCCAAAATCAAAGGACTAATCAGTATATATAGCTGGGAGATCCTGAAAAAGTGTCCTACTACATGTTTAAAGCCCTGACTGGAAGAGGAAGGCTTTCTTTTGGAGTTCCAGAATTATAGGTATAGTTTAAAGTAAAACCAATACACTGTATACATTTTTGGGAGGTAAGAGCCCATTTAAAACATGTTCATTTCAGTCCAGCAGGTATGTTACAAAGTGCTCACCATGATTAATCATCAGGGCAGTGTAAATCAAAATTACAGAGACAATACCTCACCACTCCTGTTAGGATGGCTGCTATCAAAGGGTCAAGAAATGGTGTTGGCAGGGGTGTGGAGAGAAGGCAACCTTGTGCACTGTTAGTGGGAACGTAAAGTGGTTTAAAGTACTGACCTTATATCTTGTTCACCATCAAAACACCTGGTTTAAAGTACTGAGTTCTAAATATATATTTGATAAACAAATAAATATGAGTAAACCAACTCATTATTTTTGCCTGAGAGTCATGTGATGACAAAGCACTACTTGTATTTGAGGAATCAGACTTTAAGTAGATATGTTTGTAATAACATTTGCCTCTTCATTACTTTATTAAGGAAGAATTAAGTGTACACAAATTCATTCGTCCATTGTCTCATTCAAAAAGTGTTTTCTGGGCATTTTCTAAAGCCACAGCACTATTCTGGGTGTAACGGGATTGAAGAAGCCATAAACATAATCTCTTCCCTCCACATGTTTGCAATCTAGCTAAATCAATATTACGTGATACCATGTATCATGAATGAGGACTATCAGAAAGTCCTCTTTAATAATGCCAAATATTAATTTTATTCCAGGAGGCTGCCTTGGTAAGCTGTCACGAGGCATATGGTGTAAGTGTCATTGTAGGAGTAGCTCCTGATTCCCAAAATCTCTCCATGAACCCCATGCTGCTATTGAGTGGGCGTACCTGGAAAGGAGCAGTTTTTGGTGGTATGTATTTAGGCTTGAGGGATGAATTTTTATTAATCTTTATCATTTGACTGGAGGCCCAGTGCACGAATTCGTGTATGGGTGGGGTCCCTCTGGGTGGCCTGCGAGGATGGGCTGAAACCCGCAGTCCAACGCTGCCTGCAGCTCCTACCTACCACTCCTGCTCATCCCGGCCCCACTGTGCCTGCTTGGGCTCACACCCAATGAGTCCCAATCGGGAGAGGCTTGTGTCGCTGCAGCAGCAGTGCTCACCACCCATGAGCCCTGTGTCTGGCGCCCTCCGAGGGGAGTGGCCTGCGGGATTGGGCTGAAACCGGCTCTCTGACATCCCCAACATCCCCTGGGGGGTCCCAGATTGCAAGAGGGTGCAGGCCAGGCTGAGGGACCCCACCAATGCAAGATCAGGGCCGGAGAGAGACCATCCACAGTAGAGCTCCAGGTCATGTCTGGCCCCAACTTGCCCAGTCCCGATGATCACCAGCCGTGGAGGGACAAGGGAGGTTGGCCATCCGGGATGGACCGCAGGAGGGCTCCAGGGCATGTCTGGCTAGTCTGGCTCAGTCCAGATTGGCAGACCCCAGCAGCAAGCTAACCATACCAGTCAGAGCGTCTACCCCCTGGTGGTCAGTGCATGTCATAGCGAGCATTGAGCGGCTTTAGCATATCATTAGCATATTACGCTTTGATTGGTTGAACAGTTGACCAGTCACCAGACAACCAGACACTTGCATATTAGGCTTTTATTATGTAGGATTTCTTCCCTTTATCAAGTGCCAACGTGAGTTTTTAAGAAGCAACGTGGTTTAAATAAATTAAGTCATTTGTATCTATAGGCTTCAAATTAACTAGAAGTAGAACTAATACACACATTCCCAAGATAGACATTTCTGGTGTCCCCATAAACTAGGGTCTTTCAGCACCACTTCTCTTTATACATGTGACTACACAAGGCATGAAATATACCTAGGAGGACACAGGAAGTCCATAGCAATAATTCATGGTTACTCTCATTGCCCAAATCTAGACAGCTGCACATTTTGCTCCTTGCCTTTGGGAATAACCATGCATACAATAATTTCTCTGTGAGAGAACTAATAACTAAGGACCCTAGCTTAGCTCGTCAGATTTTTTTTAAGTAACAACAACAACAAAAAGTCTAACCACTGCAAGAGGATATTGGAGCACTCGGTCTCTCACTGACCTCAGTAATAGTAGTCTGCGTACAAGTAAGTAGCAGTAGAACTTCCACTTGAATTCTACTCAGAAAGTCTCCTCTCCAGTTCTCTTACCCCTGGCTGCCTCTAACAATGATGTCATGTTCTTTTCAGGCTTTAAGAGTAAAGATTCCGTCCCCAAACTTGTGACTGACTTTATGGCTAAGAAGTTTTCATTGGATCCATTAATAACCCATGTTTTACCTTTTGAGAAAATAAATGAAGCATTTGACCTGCTTCGTTCTGGAAAGAGGTAGTTTTTAAGTTTCCTTTTATGGTGGGGGTTTGATTAATAGAGAAAAGAGGTGAAAGTATGAGAAAAACATTGGAGTGCCTTGGTTTTCCATTACTAGTTCAGTCTTTGCATGCAGAACATTTAAGATCATATTGTGAGAAGCTAGGAACAGTTGTTTTGCATTTTCTGCTGAAACATTGTTCTGCTGAAATGAAATTACATATGTTGGTTACAGTGAATCTAAATGATCAAAGCCACTCATCTTTATATACAAAAGAAGACTCACCCTTGCTTAGAAAAAGAATCAGAGTTCCACAGTCATAAGCATAACATGGAGTCACTGCAGCTTCTGCCTGGCCAGCTAAAAGGTTGACCATTAATGGCTGTAAATGTAAATTATATATAGGAGTAGGTGGAGCTACATTGGGATTGTTTTAATATAATGTAACATTTAATATAATATGATATATCATATAAATAATTTTTAAAGGCATAAACACATTTTTCTAAAAGTATCCAACAGAAGATGATTTTAAGAAAGGACATGAGTTGCAGTGTAAATATTATATATCTGATCTTACCAAGAATGGAGTCTCTCTAGCTTTATCTTCTTACTAAGGCTCCTTAAGCACCACTTTATCAGAGCTCTATTAAATCTTCATCATTTACTATTATATCATTGCTTCCTTCAGGCAAGTTACTTGTCATCTTGTAATTTGTGCAATTTTGCTTTCAGGTTTAAATCCCAGCACTTTACACTAGATGTGTGACCTAGAGCAAGTTACAAATATCTCTAAGCCTCAGAATTTTTAATCTCTAATCTTTAAAGTCTACCTCATAGCATTGTTGAGTTTAAGTGACAAAATGCACAAGAAACATCTATGGAGTATGTGATAAACAGCAAGAACTTATTACCCATTGTTGTTTTCAATTCATTATTATGCCAGGCATGTAGGATCTCAAAAATGTTTTTTGAGAATCCTAATCTATATATATAAAAGCCGAAGCGACCGAAAGACCGAACAGCTGGAATGACCAGAACGACCAGAACAACCAGTCACTATGATGCACACTGACCACCAGGGGGCAGACACTCAACGCAGAAGCTGCCCCCTGGTGGTCAGTATGCTCCCACAGCGGGAGCACCGCTCTGCTGACAGACCCATCCCGGCATCCCATCAGCCTGGCAGCAGCCACTCCCTCAATAGTTTTGCAGGTCCAATCTCTGGAGAACGGGCCAGGCACAAATGGACCAGCATCATCAGCACAATCCTGACAGTGCCACCGGCCCCCTGGAAGGCCCCCTGGAAGTCCACTTCAGGCACCGTGGCCGCTTCCCCTCCCTAGATGCTTTGCAGGGAAGAAAGGCTATAAAAGTGGCTGCCAGGTGGCTCCGGACAACCGGCACGAACGTCGGCAGGACGGATTCAATCCCAGGCTGGCAAGGGCATCCCACTGCCTGCCTGGAGGGCAGATCGTGTCCTGGGGCCCCCACCCTTCTTGGGACCCTACCCATGCACAAATTTGTGCACCGTGCCTCTAGTTCATTATAAAGCCTAAATGACAGCCATGTTCAGGTTTGAGTTTAAGGTTGGAGAAAACACAAGACCAAACCCAGAAAAGGTGAACTATCTTTGACTTGAGTACATAGGGATAGGAAGGGAGTGGCAGGAAATACAGACACCTGTTCAGTGAGACACATCAAATGCCCCTTGGACTCTTACATGGAAGAATGTGAACTACATAAATATTAAAATAATATCTTTTATTTTGTGTTTCAGTATCCGCACCGTCCTGACATTTTGAGATCATACAAAGGCCTTCACTTGTAGCTGTCTTCTGGCTCCTTCATCATCTGGCACATCAGACAAACAACATCAATAATTCTGTTCTTCAGAGATGTTGTCAATAAATTACACATGGGAGGTTTCCATGGGAAAACAAGAAAGAAAAAATTATGTGAAAACCTTTTTCAGGCATATTTTTAAAATCCAAGTGAAAGTTAGATGAGCCATCAGCTGAGTAATTGAATCCAATAAACATTTCTTCTTAATCACTCCACTCACGTTGCATGGTGTCGTCTTTCCCATTAAGGAAAAGGATTTCTTTGACTTCTTGCTCGTTTTGTACCGTTGCCACCCTTAGTCACTGAAGCCCAGTGGGAGAGGTCCTCATTTTACTTGTCCCCAGCAAACACTTGATGGGCTCTTGTGCTCGAAGTCTTCTACTTCTGCCTCTACTTCCACTGCCTGTATTTTCCTTTCTATGAAATGTACCAAAGCCCAAAGGTAAAAACTGCCAGGGAAAGGGTATACTCAGACTTTTAGATAAATATGGACCAGGATGTCTAAATGCAGGAAATTTCTTAGGGAAATGTGGCACACACATTTTATATGATACAGGGGAGTGTATGTATTGATTTTATACTCTTTGCTCTTAATATATAACTGTTCTTTAAAATAAAAACAATTTCGTGCTACCTGTGATAAATGTGAGGTTCAGATATTAAATGTGAAAACTGAGCTATTCCTAGAAATTTATTTTAAAAATCTGGATTTTTACTCATGAAAGTGCTTCATTGGTTAAAACATTTTACTTGTTATAATTAACTGAAAAAGAGTCATAGGTAATTAAAAATATGGTGGCTTAAAGTATATGGTTGAAGCAGGTGTGGACACAGCATGTAAAATGGTAACTAAGAAATGGCACAAACATCAAAAGCAATATGTTTTCTAAACGTGTGCATATATACAGATGTACAATTTTGCTAAAATTATTTTCTATCTAGAACTTTTCTATTAACTACCATGTCTTAAATCATGCCTATAACCCTGGAATTAGTTTAATGTTTTTAAATATGTGGAAGCCTGTGGTACGTTTGTTAATGCTGTCCCACAATCAGGGGAAGGTTTGCATTTTGGCTTAATCTCTAAATGTGTAATGGAAAGCTTATTCCCGTAAGGAGTTTTAGCTTTCTCCAAAAGTGTATTTGTTTCCATGTCTATAATTTGTTTGGTGTTGTGGAAAGGACTCCAGACTAGGACAAGAGATCCCCCACTTCTCTGTGACCTCCTGTAACTTACTCAACCTCTCTGAGCCCATTTCACCCTTTATTTTTAAAAATTATTCTATTGACCCATTACAGCTCAGAAAGCTTAGATGAGATGATGCCAGTTAGAGAGATTTCTCAACTGTGAAGTGCCATAAAGATGTAGGGGATAGTACAATTGTTTTGTAAGAGGCTGAAGGAGATATTGAGGGTCCAGGAAGCTTCAGAATGTCCCCTTGGGTCCATGCAGCTGGGTGCTCCAATGACTTCATATTGGTGCTGATGATGTGAGACCCAGAGGAAAAGATGATGGTTCTAAATACCCACATCACAATAGTGAGCATAATGTTCTGCTGGTTGTAGAAACGCCTACGTCCAGCTTCATCTCCCCTACCACCCAGGTTGTGGGGAGCGAGTGGAGAGCAGGATGTAGGTAGGCATGTCAGTGGCACAGTCCTCCTCCATGGGGTGTGTGGAGAGGTTGAGGGTGGGTACTTTTTGTGCACTGGCTCTCTGTATACATTGACATTGGTGGGGAAGGAGGCAGCTGAACTCAACATATAAAAATGGGACTCCAGATTGTTGGTATCCTGATAAGCCTGTAAGGGGCACATGGACCCGGTGTCCTGTTGGTCTCTAGTAATGAAAATTCTGACTCTAGAATCAAGAATTTCCAATTTGCCCTGGCCTGTGTGGCTCAGTTAGTTGAGCATTGGCCTGTGCATCAAGAGGTTGCTGGTTTGATTCCTGGTCAGGGCACATGCCCAGGTTCGGCACCCATCCCCAGTAAGTGGCATGCAGTAGGCAGCTAATTGAAGTTTCTCTTTCATCGATGTTTCTCTCTCTCTCCTTCTCTGTTCCTCTCTCTAAAATTAATAAAAAATGTATTTTAAAAAAATTTCCATATTAGTTTGTTGGTCTTCTTTTTAAAAAATATAACTGTACGTGCATATAGCTTGAAATCACTTTTAGCCAACTGCAAAAAGTTTAATCAAAATGAAGAAAATTTTCAGTTTGAAGAAAAAGAATTTCATGTTGATGGTTTAACTAATCACTCTAATACAATATCTTAGGTTTTCCAGCAATAGTAAATAAAGAAAAATTCAACTCTGAATTAACCCTTTGTTGCTTTATAAATCACACAAGCTGCTCTAAGATTAGAAAGTCATTTTGACAGAATCATTAGAAAATCATAAGTTAAAGTGAGAGCAAGCCTATGTTTAATAATTAATTCTTACATACATGACTGCTTAATTCTGATAACAAATGATTGCTGCACAAATAACCTCAATACGTTTTCCCTGAAGATTCTAAGGTAACAATTTTATTGAAGTACATTAAATTCTATTTACCTGTCAAATACCTAGTAATTTTCATGAAATTGGCCATTGCATAAGAAGAGAATCCAATATTAGTGGGACAAGAATAAAGTAGAATGGGAGCATTACAGTGGAGGCCAAACACTAGTCAGATGAGATTAATGGTCAGATGTGTGGACTTGGTTAGCTCCTTTCATTCAGGACCCAGCGTCTGGAAGCCCATCTGCACAGCCCTACCACAATCAACAAGGGAACCCAGAAGTTGCTTCATTACTCACTAACAATGCTAACTCAGGAGAGAGGACAACTAGAGAGAGAAAGCATCTGGTTCCCTAGTCCAGGCTTGTTTTGAAGTATCTGGTGTGTTAACAAAGAAGTCAGTAGATAGATTTATAATGAGAGAAAGCAAGTTCAGAGAGATTGCCAAATAATATTTATATAAATATGTTGTTTATACACTACCACTCACCCAGAAATCATTCACAGTGTTTTTGCAGATATATAATTGCCTTAAGGGTGAGTCATTACTACAGTTTTGAAACAAAAATAATTTTAGTTCATTCTAAATTTAAGTAATAAATATCTCCCAGCTAATTTCATATTTCAAAGTGTAACAGTGAGGAATTGTAACCCACCACACCCTTCTTTTGACATTTTTTTTCTGTAAATGCTGACTCTAATATTTAGCTTATAGATAAACAACATTATATAAGAATCTCAGAGGGAAGGAAGGAGGGGGCATGAAAAGATCAACCAAAGAACTTATATGCATACATGCATAACCCTTGGACAACAGTGCAGTGAAGTCCTGGGATAGGGGAAGAAGTGGGGTGTTGGTGGGGGTGTGAAT